GCACGCACTAAGTCCGTGAACATTAATTAGTACTAATTAGTACTATTTCATACAGAATAAATAAATAAATAAATAAAAGGTTAGACTGCACGCACTAAGTCCGTGAACATTAATTAGTACTAATTAGTACTATTTCATACAGAATCCTTTGTTTTCTATTGTTTAWTTATCACCATTTAGTACTAAAAGTTAGTATTTGCTTCACGGGTTTAGTGCGTGCACTCTAACATCATACTTACTGGATATTCTTTAGCCAACTTCATTTCAAATCCTTCATCTTCCTCAAATCTCCGGATTCCTTCTATATCCATAGTTTGTATGGTTTCAAAGAATTCTCTAGATCTCTGCTTTGTAATAATTTCATAATCATTTTGTGCCTGTGGATTATCAAATAACTATTAAATATTAGTTTAGTTTAGTTTAGTTTAGTTGTCACAATATAAACAAAGACATTTTATAAAACTTGAGACATACAAATTTTGTCCATTTTGTACAAATTTTGAACATTTGAAACTTTCGTCCCAATTGATATTCCCCCTCCATACAATTTACATACAGTACAAACATATGATTAACATTAAAATTGACGAGGAAAAAACAATAAGTATATGTAATAGGACTCCATGCTGTCCAATTAAGAAATAATTGGACGAGGAAAATTCCGAGGACTGACAAAATTGGATGAGGCCGTCTAGGCCGAGTCCAATTTGGCAGTCAGAGGAATTTTTCGAGTCTAATTCTTTCTTGACTGGGGAGCATAAAATCCCATTACCTATTAATTATATAGCTGCCTAATTAATCCAATATCAACAAGACCTGTCCAATTAAGAAAATAATTGGACAGTTACCTATATGGGATTAATGAGAAGCTGTATAATTATAATAATAACATATAATAATAATAATAATATATAATAATAATAATAATATATATGGCTTATATAGCGCTTATATTATGTACTTATTAATTGAGTGGGGGGAAACGCCAATGGTTAGTTTCGACTCATAGTTGTCAAACCCAGAGGTGTGCATGCATGTAGTATCAAAAGAAATAATCCCCTTTTATCTAATTTATAAACTCTGCTTATGACGACCTGAAACTTTTGGTTTCTAACAAGGACTCTAGATTTCCCCCTTTTTATTTACGTGGTAACTAATAAAGAAAGACGCTTAAAATCATTAGTGAACTTCAAAACAGTGTTTTCACTATGAAAGAAATATATATTTAATTTTATACGACACAAATGCTTTAGCGCCGGGTGACTAATTACAATTGATTAAAAAATTTTCGCAAATATTCTTTATATACATACGCCATAAACCGGCTAATAACTAATTAATTGCAATCTTTTGACTCTCAAACATAGTGAGTATCGGATTTATTGTTATTAAAACGAGTATACCTACCTGATCAAGATGAATCTCCAATGGCCGTTCGCTGATTCTTTCTTCCATATGGTTTCTTCGACGACAGATCAAAATGTCCATTAGATCGAACTTACTTAGGAAATAAGTATATTAATAGTAAACTTTACCTCGTGCTGTGATGTAGGCTTCTCTACTAGCTGTGTGGCGCCCACTCTCTCGAAATTCAGAAGCGAAAGTACTACACGTGGTATAAGTTTGCAGTTTCGTTACAAACGTTACGGTACCTTTTACACTTACGACTGGTTGCAGGTAGAAAAAACAATTCAGTTTACAACAAGCATTTAAAATGTCGGAGTTCGCAGAAAGTCGAAAACCGCAATACGAGCGTCAGGGTCTAGCACTGTTTAGGGAAGGGTGCACTTTCCATGATTTTTGTTACAGGAGCAGTGGCGTATCATCAGGATGTTTTAAAAACTCAAGTAACGAATAGGCAGTAGTTGATAAATAAACTCAACTAGGGGTTAGGGAGGGGGGGGGGCGTTGCACACCCTCTGCATCCCTCCCCTAGATCCACCCGTGGCCTAGCTTTATAAGGAAGGCTGTCATTTGTCTAACGAATCCTAATAATGAATAAAATGAGTATTCCGTACCAAATGGATCTACTCACAACTCAACACATTCAGGGCAGAACGTTAAGACCCGCTTCTCGAACGATCGTTAGCTAAAAATATTCTTAAGTGAAAACCATTTATTAATTAAATATTTTCTCATGAAAAAAGACATGCATAGCTTTCTTAAAATAATTTGAAATTATAATGAAAAGTGAATAAAAGACATAGCTTTAAGCATGTTTGGTTAATATAACCTAAATGACATTTAAAAATTGAAAATATTTTTCTATTTTACTGTACTGAAGGTAAATTTGATTAACTTATTAAAGGAGAGTAATCGCTAACGAAGCGACGCCGGCGCTGCTTGGCACGGATAGTGCAGCGGTAAATACTCAGAGCGTACTTACAGCTGATTCAAACCAGAAAGACCGTTGGTGGACGTGGTAAATATATTCATATCGTAC